TTCTCGAATTCTTCTGTTAATCTTAAGTTTTTCAAGGACCATTTTAGATTTGAAATATATTTAAAAACAGATATTAATATTTTACAATATTAATTTAATTATATTATTTATTTTTTATTAAGTATGACTTTTCAATATTTCGATATTTCAATATTTCAAGTGAAAGATAAAATAATCACATTTTCAAATTAATATTAATTAATACTATTATTCAGTACTTACACATCAAGTGTAACTATATATTAAAACAAGTATGAAACAAAAAAATGGAGTTAATTTATTAATTATGAGGGACGGTTTTTATAGTATAAACAAATGGATTACGTGTGTAGCGTACAGCTGTATAATAGCTATAAAAGTTCGTAAGTTGAATTCGAACAGAAAACGCTTCAACAACTAACAGTTTCAAAAGTAAATCAATTCATGTAATCATAATTACATTTTATATTAATTAATTGTAGATATTTTATATTTTTCAAAAATATATATTAATGCTGAACTTATATTTTTGTTATTATTAATTATTATTATAAAAAAAATTTAAATTTATAATATATCAGAGTTATAGTAAAAGATGAAATGCACACAAAATTATTAGGGGTGCTTACATATAGAACAAACTAAAGATAATCTTATGAAAATAAAATTATACGTAGTTTTATCACGGAGTTTGAAATGAAAGTTTTAAAATTCTAGATACTGAATACCCTTAGCATATTTTATACCTTTTGAGGTTATTAAAGGAAATATAAAAATTATAATATATTTATTTAATAATTTTAATTTTATAATATTATAAATTATTATAAAAATATGCAAGGCTGGGCAAGTTAATGATATTTTTTAGCTTAGTTAAGTTAATTGAGTTCATGTTCAATTAAGTTAACAATTAAGTTAATGCACATGAGAATTACATCAATTAAGTTAAAAAATATCGTTAACTCAACTTAATTTCAATTAATAAGTTAAGTTAATTACAAAAAAAAAAATTATTTAAATTAAGCACTGATATAAGCGATATATATATATATTAGGGTGGTCCTTAGTTATAGAGGTTAAAAAAAAAATTGAAAAATTTATACTCGTGGGCTCGAAATTTTGTTTGGTATATTGACAAGATAATTTTGGTAAAATTTGAATTTGATAAGTCAACCCCTTCACGTGCCTCAAAGGGGTTGTATGCTAAGGGGGTGAATTATACATTTTCACCTGTAATGTCTTAAATTCTAAATTTAGACAATATATGTATAGGACTATTTTTATATTAATAAATATTTACTACAAAAAAGGTATCTTATAAATTTTTTGTAAAATTAATACTTTTTCGTAAAATTAAGAAAAACCAGTCAAAGTCAATATTTTTGGAAAATGGTTCGTTTTTTAGTTATTTATCTGTATTTCCTTAAATTTTATAGCTACACAAAAATTGTAAATTAGCAGTATTATTCCACACAATATTATCTATAAATAAGAAGTTTTCATTTTTTTTGGTACATTAACCCTTTTGTAAATAATCAAGAAAAACCTTAAAAATATAGGTTTTTACAACTTTTTATTTATTAAAATATGTTAATTTTTTAAATGTTGTATTCATGTTACACAATATATTAATCAAATTTAATTTTAAGTTTATTCATTAAATATTAAAAAATAATATTAATGATGTATTATTAATAGGCATAAGTTTTCTTTAAAATCTCACGGCTAAACCCTGGATATTGTTGGCGATATTCTTGAACAACTTAAAAAAGTTACATGTATTTATATTATTTGATAAAGGTAAAATATCACAAGATTATATAAATATTTCATACTTGTAAAATAAATTGTTTTTGATCTTCATTTTTAGTGAATTTTTCATTATATTCCTACATCAATTTTATCCCACGTTCAGCTGTATCGTTAACGTCTTTTAGTGCAGATAATATTTCTTTAGCTTGTATATACTCATCCAAGGCTTTCCATGTGCTTGGATCTTCTCGTAAAAAGTTAAAAGATATTTTAAATCGTTGAAATAATTTCCATGATTTATTATTAAGCAGGGCAAATGGAAGATCTTGATTAACAAAATTTGATACATCGTCAAATTGTACGTTAATTTTTTTATTTGAACCTTCATTTTCTTCTTCGTTTATATTTTCTTCGTATCCTTGCAAAATTTTATTTGCCATTCGATGTTTAGTATTGTAGTCAACTCGGTCATCAAATAATGAAAACACAGCACATTCTTCATTCAAATACCACAAGTGGTTTATGAATTTTTTTAAAGCAACTTCTCCCAATTTATTATTGTTATAATTCAATAACTTTTTTAAAAACATAATATCATTTATAGGAGCGGTAATAATATCTGGAGCCGAAATCCATACTTGAATATAACATTCAACTATAAAACTACATATATCTTCCAGTGACTTTTTTTCTTTTGTTGAAATTTGAAATTGATCACAAAACATTAAAATTTTAAGACAGTATATAGCTTTTGACATCCATCGAGCTAAGTGATAAGCACCTGGCTGACGAATTCGTATACCATTTGTATGTAAATACATTTTATATATATTTATATATAAATATTAACAATTTACAACAAATCTTATTTAACCTTAACGATAATGAAAAGGCAGAAAAATCTTATTAGACTCTAATTAGAGTAGAAAAATATACATTTATTTATTGGGATTGTTTTTAAGCACTCAAATGTCAAATTTATGGTAGTTTATGTATCATTTGTTTTTATTAATCTTTCATAAAAATCACACACGATAAATGTAATTTAAAAAAATATTCTTTTTAATATTCAATAACAGTATGAAAACTAAAAATAATTACTGCAGCTGAAAGTGTAACTATAAAATTATACAGGCAATAAATATATATCGTTGATACAAAACATTAAAATAAATATATAATATTATTTAACTTTATTAAAATCTAAGCAAATAAAACAATATAATGGACAGGTTAATTAAAATACTTACTGAATCTCAATAAAAGAGTCAGCTCAAAATGTTGATCAGCTATTAAATTTCTTCTCTTATTCAGTAATATATAATATATAAATCTTATTTAATAATATCATAGATTATGGAATAATTCTAATAATATTAGAGTACAATTATTATTAAGAATTATTTAGTCAATGATACCATGTACCTATTTTTATAATTTAGATTTACGGCCACTTTTCAGAACAATGGTAATGTAATTTATGGGTAGCATGGCTAACATGGCTATTTTAACTCAATAGTCTGATGATGGTTGAGTACTTCTCCCGAGACCGGTGGGACCACAATTAATTGACCATTAATTAATAATAGTTAATACCGAGATAAATATTATGGTCTCATCTAAAAATTCGTCGACATTTTTATTTTTATATTTTTCTAAATTCCATGAACTTGTTATCGAATGTTGTATTTTACAAAAATATTTTTCTGGTCTTGAAAATCAAAATTAACTTAATTGGGATAAATTAAAAAATAATACATTAATCTTAAGTTAATTTGTAAAGAAATGAGTTATGTTAATTAGTTAAGTTAATTTATCAGTAATGAGATAAGTTAAGTTAATCAGTTAAATTAACTTAACTTTTAACTTATTTACTCGTTAATGCCTAGGCTTGACAATATGGTATCCAAGTTCCAACGAAGGCATTAGTATTTGGTGCATAATAGGTATTAGACATTTAAGTAATTATAATTCATATTTTAAATTGATAACGTTTACGTACATTTAGTAAATTACTTTAAGTTATTCGTTTTTTATTAGGCATTTAAATGAATAATGTAATCTTTAATTTTTAACTATATTTAATAATAAAAAGCGTAAGCTTTATATAAAAAAAAAGAGAAAAAAGTGGCGAGAAATTACTTGTTACAGTTTAGTACTAATAAACTGTAAGTGATATTCTTTTAACGATGTTCATAGACTAGTCATATTTATTTATTGACGTGTATCGTTTACGTGGTATATTTTCAATAATATAGGTTGGTCATTGTAGAGTAAAAAAAATCAATTTAACTATACTGTTGTACTGAACAGTACAACGAGCGTACAGAATTTTCTATTTCAGTAATACAAATATCCATGTATTACATATTATGATGATCTGTGATTGACGGTCCGTCGATATAAAATGCATAATAATAACGTATGTGTACAGTAAGTAGACAACTAGTAAATTTTTATTGTAATAACCTGGACAATCGAAGTAGTCGGATCGCGCGAAATATTCCATTCAACAACAATAATAACAATAATACGATATAAACGATAGGTGGCACTCGCTCGATCGAGTATTGCAGGAATGCAACGACTTTCAAAACGTGTGCGCGGGAGAGACACGTATAAAATATAATATGCACTTGACTGTTGCACGCTTACTTCCTGATGCCGGGCGGAGGCATTTCCTCGTTGGTGGTACGACGGAAAATAATGGCAATCATTAGTTTTTCGAATCGTTAAGATCGAATTAATAAATCGTAAACTACCCATAATGTATACACGCGCAGTGGGTAAACTTAATATATTATTACGCGCGCGCGCGCGCACACACGGACACAGGCCAAGTCCGGTCGACCTTGCTCGCGACGTAAAGGTACGACTTAACGTCGTTTGTACTTATGTGTGTAGATAGTGCGGTGGTGCGCAAATATTACGACGATAATGGACAATAAGAATAATAGTATTAAATAATAATGTACGAGATATTCGCCTGTAGGCGACGACAACAGTGCAACCAGCGGCGGTTCCGGTGAAAGCTCGGAAGTGTGCGGTACGGTGACGAACGATTTTTTTCTGTGAACACCGAACATATCATTGACGAGTTGTGTATTCGGATCGTATTTACTTATTTTTTATTTCTCTCGCACATTAGAGGCCAACGTCGGCGACCTTGCGCGGCCTCATCCCACTCCAAAAAGATTGTTTCTGAATATCCGCCCGCCGCCGACGCCGCGCCACACATATTGTTTAGCGGTCTCGTCCGCTGCCACCGTCGTCGTTTAGTATATTTATAGGTAGTCTACTGCACTACTACCAGACTACAACCATTATCGTCGTCGTCGTCGTTATTATTATTATTATTATTATTATTATTATCGTTATTGTTCCTGTCACGCACGCGACCGCCGCCGACGTTGACCACGCGCTGCACAGTACGTATCAGTTGCTGCAGCCAGTATCCGTTCGGTTACCGATTTGAACGCGCACGCGCGATAGTGTCCACCGCATCGCCACCGATTCGTTATTTCATAACTTATCGTTCATTTTTTTTCACCTCCGCCCGAATATGTATCAGCACACCCGACTCGCGCAGTGAATCCTTGCTATTCGGTAATCCGCCAGTTCAACCGAGTGCCGTGCGTGCGTCTCCATTTGACGATAGACGAGATGTGCGGCTTGTAATATTAATCACAATAAATCGTGTACCGCGGAAAATAAGATCAACAGATTTTCCGGACCGGCCGACCACATGATACGTGCCCACGTCGTACCTACATAACCGGTGAAAACATAAACGTTCTTGCTATCTTTCGTACACGTTAAATCGCCCCAACATCAGGTTTGTAGTGCGCCAACATTTTGTTTTGAATAGATTTTTTTATTTTTCGTTATAAAATATCAACCTACACTCTATCGCGTAATACGCACTTGGGTTTAATGGTGGAGGGGGGAGGTGTTTAGGCGAAGAACTATTTTATGTGGATTCAAAATTAATGACCTATTACATTATATTATTATTCCTTTTTCTCCGCGGTCCACAATAAAATTTCAAACACTTATCTCCAGAAACTTAGATTGATTTAATTTGAAATATTTACACTTGGCGCTTGGTCAATACTTGACGGATAAATAAGTGTACATACTAAAAAGTACGTCCCTACAATATTTCATGCCAGTCAGGGGTGTATTTTAGGGGGAACGAAGCGGTGATCGCCCTTCCCCCTTTGAATCCGTATTTAAGGAATTGATTATATGTGAGATACACATTTAAATTTTTATAATGTGGATCATTTTATAACGAAATCAAATTACGCGTGGCTGTAAGTACTGAATTGGGCTTTTTGTCGGGTCCATACGAAAAATTAAATAAAACACAGGCGTGATTTTCAAAACACAGACAGATGTTAAAAAAGAACTACACAAAAGTCGATTCTAAGTGGATTCGACATTAGATAAAAAAAAAACTATAAATATTAAGGATTCACCAGATTTAAATATTACCAAAAATGTTACTTGTAAATTTTGAACCTGAATTAAAGAAAATTTTGAGTTGCCCCCTCCCTAGTATTAAGTCTAAATACGCCCTTGTGCCTAGGGCAAGCAATACTAATTGTTTGTATGCGATTATTAGGCATCGGAATAAACTTTGCAATTTCGCTGTTATTTGTGTACGATTTTTCTATTATACATTTTTCGTTAATATCAATTATTATTTTGAAGTTAATTTTCAATCATGAGAGATTAGACAAAAACATTCATCATCTAATGGGGGAGGGATTTGAAAATACAAAGGAATATTGGAAAATTAATGTATAGCAACCGACAAGAATATTGAAGGTCCCAGAGTATTTGGTTTTATAAGGAGTAATTTTTCTAAATTTAAAATCCCTTATTACCTTAAATTATTATATTCCACTTAAGTCCGATCCATACTGGAACATGGTTGTTTGGAATCATAATTGAACTGGAATATTTATAACATTGAACGCGTTCAAAATTGATTTTTAAGAATATTTGCATTTAAGGCCAACAAAACTAACGTATTGTAAGATAAAGTAACAAGAGAGTAGAGCATCGAGTTGCTCGACAAAAATTGTTCGATGGGACTTGGTTATATAAATTATTCAATCCTTTAATTATTTGTCCTAAATTATTTACCCAATTATTTTTTAACGTTCCTTAAACTATCTACTACTTAAACCAGTGCTTTCCAAACATTTTTGACTCACGGCGCTCTTTTTGATTTAAGGTCTTTTCAAGGCGCCCTTCTTTAAATTATAGCATGACTAATCACAAGGAAAATGTTAGACCCGATAGTATTTTATGATGGCGCGGCGCCCTTATACAGACATCACGATGCACCGGGACGCCACGGCGCACACTTTGGGAACCTATGACTTAAACTATTACTCGTATGTCAAAATCGTTCTACACCTACATATATTTATCATCAAAATTATATTCCATTTGTTCCAATCAACAGAATGGTAACTTTAGTTAATTCTATAAAAAAATTTGATTTTTTCCATGCTAATTTAACCAGGTTAAAATCACTGATTTAGTTCTAATGGTATCTTTAAATGTCTTAGAATTACATAACCACATGTTTTATGAATAGTAGTAAATACAATCCGAATTGTCTTAAAATTTGTTATATATTAATATCTCTATTTTACTGTATTCTGTGCTCATTGGACGTTAATTACCAATAAATAAAAACAAATAAATAATAAAATAATAAACAATTATTAAATAGTTAATACTCGTAAAATAGAATATAAATAAATAAATAATTTATATATAGAAATAAATAAATGCAAGTTGAGCCTGGAGTATTATTATATTCGTAAAGTTACGATTTTATTTTTATATTCAATGGCAATTTTATTAACTTTGTTTATACCTGATGATGAATTTTTAATTAAAATCGGCCGTACTTTACAAATAAAATAATACTCCAGGCTAAGTTTTTATTTATTTATTTCTATTTATAAATTATTTGTTTACTTATATACAAATGAATAATTCCCTAAACCCCATAGCCATCTCTCAAATCTTAAAATTGTTAGGTATATTTTTAGTTGTATACTCATATTAATATTATTTATAGATCGTTAAATCTATAATATCAAACGTATTTTTAATGAATATACGAAGAGGCATAGATATCGTTTAGAAGGTTGTGTAATATTCTTTAAAACATCAAAAACATATTTAAAATTAATTAAATTTTATTTGAAGATGAATCAATTCCAACTTTTATATTTTAAAAATTTATTTTTAGAATGTACGTTGTTGTATTTTTTAGGTTTAAGATATTTTTTAATAAAAAATAAACTATATCTAGATTTAAATTTTTTATTGTTTTTATGATATTTGAATATATATTCCAGATAATAAATATTTTGGATCGAAGAATTAGCACCCGAAACTCGAAAAAATATCGTACAGTGTCCGAGTCAACTGACACTGGCACCAGCAAATAGAAAATTGATTTTGGTCGATTATACTTAAGTTACAAATTCCAAATATGTGGTTTCGAATTATTACGTATTGGTTACTAATTTATGAAATCATTTTGACACCAAAATTTTTACTTGGTGGTGCCAGGGTCAGTGACCTCCATTTTAGCATTATTTATTGTGGAGGAGGTATTGCTATTAATGAATTCTCGTGGAATTATATCCTGTAGCTGTTAGAAATTTAACTCAAATTATTCATAAATATTAATGTCTACTTATATAATATTATGAGTTTAATGATAAATATACGGTTTTTACCGGTATTAAAAAATTATATGTAATTATTAAAGTATTATGTCATACATCGTTGAGTCGTAAAACTATAACTGAATAAGCATATAAATTATCTTTTTTTTAATCAAATTAGCATGTTATGTCTTTTGTGAAAGTTTTTATTAAAAGATTTTCGTATTATAAAGAAAATACTAAATTATTTATTAATATGGTAAATCACTATCATTAATATTACAATACCATCGACGTTGACTGCATTTCAAAAATCTAAATAATCTGCACTGATACGGATTATTATGTATCTCATTTTATTTGCATCTCTAAATCGGCTAGTTGATTTTGCAATTTGATTGAAAGATTAAAAGATAATATTTTTTTTTGAAGTTTGTAAAACATTTTTAACTATTAATAATTTTCAAATTAATATCTTTTTTGATTTTACTATTTAAAATTTTTTTTTTCAAAATTTACGTAAATAAACTTCATGCATTATTACGTAGTTAAATCTTGAACCAATAGCGGCCGAAAATCTTTTAAAATTTCAAAATAACTAAAATAATAACAGTTCATGACTTATATGCGTATACTAATAGATAGCTGCTTAACGTTCCCTGATTTTTATGATTTTTATTTTGTTTAACTGTTGTAATATAAATGAGCTTATATTTTAAAACAAATTTATACGATATAATTGAAAAATATAATTGGTAGTCAAAAAATTATTTCAGAAGTTGTATATTCAAACTCAGATTTATTATTATTTATTTATACTTATTAAAATGAGCTCATAGACGCTATATAAAAAAGACATAGATACATGTACACATAGGTGTAAGTTATTAAATTAAAAGTTATGATATAAACTTTTCTTTTGGGTTGATTATATTATAAGCGTTAAATATTTGATTTTTCTTTACAATAATAATGTTGATAAGAGTTGACAATTACAAAATTATTATAAATTGAATATCCTAATATTATTAAATAATATAACTAAATTTTAATTTAGAGCTAAAGTTTCCCATAGTTTCTCATAGATTAAATTATTAAAACGTTAATTTAAATTTATTTAACTGGTAATATTTGAATTTATTGAAATTAATCAAACTAATCATTTTTGATATTTTAATGGTTAAGAAAAAAACATTCAATTCTATTTAATATATATTTTAATTTGACTAGTAGTTTGTAGATTAAAAAAATATGTTCTTGAAATATTAAAACGAATATTAACAAAGACAATTTATTAAAATCATGTAATAACATAAAGGTATCTATTACATTTTAATTTCTATCCATAAATTCCATATATTATAAAACATTGCCTTAAACTAAAAAAATATTTTTAAGTAATATTAATATTTTAATTAATTTAAATTTTAGTAAGACTGACCAAAAAATAATTTTTAAAACAGAAGTTTGATAAATGATCTATAAATACACTTTAAATTAATTTATAACAGTTTCGTCACATCAAAAATGCACTCTCACATTCACATTACGGAATAGTAAATATTTATAAATGTTGAAAATAATACCATTCATTATGAATACTAGTATTTGTAGACTAAAATTAATATTTTATAGTAATAAAGTTATAATAAGTTGCTACCTACATTTAATATTGATTTCATTTTTTGATAGAGTTTTAAATTATAGTACGTTTTTATTGTAATAAATAACTATAGGTGTAGATGTATATTGCAATTATTTTAGCATGTTTTAATATACAACAAATGAAATATTAGATTATCATTTTTGAACACTCGAAAAACTTAATTTTTTTGATCCAAATGAAAATTAAAAATCGAGTAAACATTAAATTAAATTTAAACAATTTAAATTATTTTATAAAAAACAAATTCAATAATAAAAATGGCATTGGAAATAAATACAACCTTATTTGCATTTGATATCTAAAATACCTTATAAAAGTATTTCAACATTCAATTATTTTTCAAATTAATCTTAAGGTATGTACCTAATCGTATTTTATTATAATATTCAAATAAATACTACTACTGCTAAAATTTGTTTTTTTTTATATAACCATTGGCCATGAAGATTTAATATTCTAAAAATATATTTTTTTATTTATTTATTATTGACTTAACGGGTTAAATGTTACGCAATGCAGCACAGGATGAATCGTGTAACAGTAGATTTATCTGTAAATCTAAAATAAAATAAATTAATTCTTCTCTATAGAAATCGATTAAATAGACAAATGTTTAAATGAGGTTTGGTTAATACAAAAACATTAGTCCGACATCTTGACAATATATAAATGTTTAATATAAGTAATTAACAAGATAATGTATTAAAAAACCACCTGTAATATAATTTTATGTATTTTAATATACCCGTTGAATACGAATCACGATTTTCATTTTCTTAACGTTAGAATTGCTCAACGAGTCAACGAATAGTTTGGGCGTAATGTATATGCAATTCTGATGATTGCGTGCGGTCTATACAATTTAGTTAGCCTTCTATAGTTTTACTATTTCCCATGGAAAAAAATAATAACACAAATAATATGAAAATGATTTGTCGCTATTTAATTATTGTCGTTGACAAAAGAATTAGAGCAAAAAGTTACACTAAAGATCAACTTTAACTACAGTAGTCACATACAAGCACAAAAGCCCCGACCTTGGTCACACCCAGAACTGGTTTATGCGGATTTGTTTAGCAAAATTTACATGCCACCAAATGAATTTCCAACTGTATTTTTATACCGAGTTCCTCAAAGAATGTTTACACGCTATGTTAATTTTGACCGTGACCATTATGCTTATTTAACTGAAACATTTAACACAATAATGTTTGTGCTTCAAACTAATCGACATTGATCAAGATGTATTCATCTTATAATTTTACCCATGAAAAACCATGAAATGTTCTCGCTCGTTGCATTCAGATAAACAAATTGTTAAATTATATTTATAATCATAATGACTTAAATTTAATTAATTAAAACTCTATCTCACTCTAATTTGGTTTAATAATCATATTTATATTACTTTATCCTATAGTTTAGAAACTGCTGAATTGTTGAATGAATTTTATTTGTTTTAAGTTTATTTTTTTTTTATAAATATGATTTTATTGAAATATTTACAATTTTATATAGTTTTTGCACAATAAGTTACTGTTATTATAGATGATTAATGATATTTGATGGTCTGACTAAGAAGATATACAGTTGTGAAACCTGGATTGACTTGGATCGAACTAGACTTGTTTCGTTTGAGGCACCTGGTAGGATTTTCGGATAAAAATCAATTTAAGACTATCTGAATTATGAGTGGATTTTGATATGATTTTTTTTTTAATGAAATTTATTGTAGTAATAGCATGTTGAAGTGTATTTTTTTGATACATGGGATCTTTCGGTCACAGTGGATTGCCATGTTAGTGATAAACTATGGTGTTTGCAGAAATATTCGGAAGCCGATTGATTGATAAGTTTGAATTTTTCGGATGTTTATAGGTTAAGCTGAACCTCAGATGGCGATACTATAAGTCCAGAAAGGTTTTAATGATATTTTGTAAAGGAGTAGTTTGACTGGAACTGAAATTTTTGAGTAAAGAAGTGGCCTTAAGCTATGTAGGCGAAAATTGAATTACCGACCAGGTTAGGCGTGTATCGAAGATAATTCTATTTTAGATTTAACATTTAAGATTATGAAAAATCCGTCTAGTGAGTAAGTAACCAAAAAGAAGAAAAACAAATAAAATTTCCTAGCTAAAATTTCCAATATCAACATCCGTGGTGTTTGTCTACAATGGAAGGAAATCTTAGAATGACGTGCTTATATGGGTATTCGCATCGCCTCAGGAACATCCGGATGTATAGGAGTAGTAAACACACCTATCAAGATTTGGAAGTCATTTCGTGTATGGTCTCTAAGAGCGCGAGATGATATTTAAATTTTCCACTTAATCATAATAAAACAAAATATAATATTACATGTAAATATTCGAGCATAATTAATTATTTCCCCTGTAATACATTTAAGTGTCATTACGTATTTATTATATTATATTATATTACCATACGACATCGGATTAACTCAAAAATAAATATATAAATAAATAAATAAATAACATCGTATTTATTATGTTCACGTGATTATTCAACAAATAGATATTAATTATGTTACAAAAATCAAATATTTATACAATACTTTTATCGACTACGTTTTATATACGACTCAACAGGATTTCCTTGTTTAGTATGAATCATTATTATGTTTGTAACAATAATGCACTGTTATCATTTCTACATATTGAATCATTTATATTGATTTCCACGTTAAATATGTTCTAATTTTTCATGTAAAAAAAAATCAAAACAAATTCGTTAAATCATGTTTCTACTATTTTTACATATGATATATATAATATATATAATATATAGAGTTTAAATTTTTATTTATTTTTATCTTTGGTGTATAATACTTAAATATAAATATTAAGTTTTAAAATAAAGTTATTTACAGGGCTAGGATTTGTATGCAATAAAAAATTGTAGAATATGCATTTTATTAACCAAAATATGCAAAAATAATCATTTAAATTTTTATAAGATAAACACAAAAATATAGTTACAAAAAAAATATTTATTTATTAAAATACATCAATGGTTAGCTGTTTGTCTTAATACAATATAATTGAAAAAAGAAATAAAATAAAATTTAGGTTCAACAAAAAAACCAATTTTTATACTTTAATCAGCAGGGCTAGAATTAAGTATAAATATTAAATTATAAATATCAATTATAAAATATACTATAAAACATTCATTTTTCGCATTCTAATAATCGAAATATGCAATAATATTAATTTTATACTGAATATACAATAATATGCATTTTATCCAAAATATGCAAAAACATGCAAAATAAAAACACCACCATTTATCTCATCATGAGGTGATTCGTGGACATTACTGACAAAATCAATAATCAGAAGTCGCAAAAAACATGCTGTTGCATACAAATCCTAGCCCTGATTATTTATATATACGAGTATATGTATATATATATATATATATATATGCAGAGTTGAGCAACATGAGCATGAGCATGTAGCTATCATTGTATCTCTGTTAGCGATCATAGGTACGTAAGTTGAATCTTATATTTTTAAGTTCAAATACAGAGCTCTACACAATACTATAAACATCGATGTAGACTTTTTTAATAAATGCATATTTTAAATTACCAACCAATAACCATATATTTACTCAAATAAAATAATCAAAAATCATTTGAACAACCCTCTTTGAAAATTAGTTAAATAATTGTCTAATCAAAATAATCATATTTTAGAATTATTCGAATAATAATATTTCAAAATTATTTTAATAATTTTTTGTTTGAACAATAAGGTTTGCAAATTATTTAAATACATTTTTATTCAAATAATTGTGAAATTATCATCCAAGTAATAATTTATTCGAATAAAATGTTATCTAATTTAAATTTCGTTCAAGTAACGCCCTACTCTGTATATAGTATATATAGTATATATACTATATACGTATGTGTGTATATAAACAATTTTGGACAGATATTGGTCCTAAATGTTTATACTATCATAAATAAAGCATTCCATTTTTAATCTCTTGTGTTTAGATTATTTTACGAAAACAATTATTTAAATTATATATATATATATATATATGATTTTAAAATGTTTTTTGTTTCAGAATGCTCAGAAGTGACGGAGGACCAATGTTCTATGGTTATAGCAACCGTACTCCTGTTACTGGTGATGTTCAAATGATAACGACTTGTCTGGTATTTGGAACGCTTTACACAGCTTTTCTCATAATTTTTCCGGGAGTTCGCAAAGAAGTGAGCAAATCATTTGTTTTATAATAACAATATTAGTTTTAGTCAATGACTCAAAACAGTTTCCACTGTTCAAAATATAAATAGTTTTTTTTTTAAGCATAAACATTTTGTAACGGAAAGTTGCCAGAGAGGGCAACAGGACCATTTTTTCCCAGGTCCTAGTCTAAAAGAATTTAAAGGAGACCCCTTTAAAGTCGAGATTGATTAGAAATACTCGGTGTTACATATTAAAGGTTTTTGATATTAATATATTATTTCTAAACTATTTTTCTTTATGAAATATTATTAAATTTAATTAAATAAAATTAACTTAAATTTATATTTAAACGCTATTATACAGGCTACATTTTCAGTTATTCTAATTTCTAAATAGTTATAACTGTAATTTATTATGTATATTGCCAAAGTGTAAAGATTGATAAAATTGTATGTAAATTTACTTTAGAAATTCTTTATCGTAAGTAACAACGCGACAACATCCAAGTTCTTATTTTCTTTAGGCATTTATAACTTATTTAGGAATAAATTTAATTTTTATTAAACGCGGTAATTGGTAATACATTTTTGAGAAGTTGTTAGTACATAATTTATTGTATCGATGCATAAAATGACCTTGATTGGTTGTTGAAGTTTAGAAAACTAAATTACCAACAGTTTGCCAACTTTGTGTGTTTTTATCATACTCGTATATTATTGTGGTAATTAAAGGACCCCCAAATTAATTTGCCCTAGGTCCTAAAAATCCTTAGGACAGCTTTGATTTCGTGGCACAGATAAAAATGATACATAGTTGATAACATTTTCTTTTTCCAATTAAATTTGATCCATTATATATTTACTTATTACTTAAGTATATATTGGTATGATTACTTGTTTGATAACATGTCTATAAATCATATTACAACTGTCACGTTTTTTTTTCTTCCGGAATGAAAGTTTAAACCTTGTCAAACAAATACTTGCATACTTAACTGGTAATGAATTTTTTTCAGAGGTTCACCACCTTCACAACTGTCACCTTGAGTTTGTTCGTCGGAAACGTCATATTGTGTAAGTTTACATTATTATACAGTATTTTTATTAATAGAAATATTTTAAATTCATATTTGCTTTGGAAATATTAAATTTATTATTTATTTATAGCATTGATTTTACAACAATAAAATGTTTATGCATATTATATAATTAATGTTCATAATGAAGAACTAAATTAGAAATAAAAATTATAAAAAATAAAATAAAAATAAATTGTTATAATAATAATAATAATTGTTATATTAATAAAAATAATAAAAATTTCTTGTTTTATATATTTGACGTTTGTTTATAACAAATGTATTACATAAAGTAAACTTAATGTAAATGTGTTTATATTACCAATAATATGACTAAAAATTAACATTTTGATGATATATAAAAACTTAAATTGCACAGTGGGTTAACACATTATATTATTAGGGTTATAGCACACTAGCTTCGATGGCTATTAAATATCCCCGTATGTTTGTTTTCGGGTTCATGAACTTCAACGTTGCTTTACATTAATTTAACATATTATAATTATAGTCACTCATGACTAGACAAGTGCGGTTCCAACTCAGTAGCCCGTACAGTTAGTGTACACATCACGTGCAATTCACGGATCTTGGCCATGAAACATGATCATTCAGCCTTGTCGAGTTCGTAAAATTTCCTAAGGCATTTTCTGGAAAAAATCGTACTGTATATTTTAGAGGGCAATAAATGTTTAATATAGTTTTTATGTTTAAATCTAATCAGGTGTCATGTGTAATTTATTTATATATTTGAAATAAAAAATATCAGAACTATTAATTTATCATGAAAATATACATGGCAGTACGCAGTAAAAAATTATTTCTATCATTATGTGGTTGAGGGGCTATATAATACATATTCGTTCATTTAATTGAAGTACATATTATTTATTTCAAAAATTGTTTGTTAACGGTACAAGAATGAAAAAGAAAAAGAGTAGAATAATATTTGATAGCATTTAAATTTTGCGGTGTGTACAACCACGTGGTGGTTTTTGTATCCATAATGATTATTGAACGCGTACAGCGTCTACGAACAATATCTTCGGACTGCAATATGATCATTGATCCGGAATGAACCACAGTCCTTACTAAAAGTCAAGGAAATTTCAGTTCGATTACCTTGACAGTCCGGATGTTAAACTAATCTTTATACTTCCTTTTCAGTCTTAAAACATGTGTACATTAATAAACACGAGCTATACAACGAATTCCTAGCGGCTATACCGAAACTATTTGACCTTGTCAAAAATGCGCAATTGTCGAATCATATAATCCGACCTTCTAGATTGCATAAAATATCATCGTGATTACATATTCTGATAAGGCCTGTTCTTTAAAGCATGTGAAATTTTAGTCACTCGACGCTTTGATTAAGTAATTATAAATATTTTATCATTATACAATGGAATTGTAAGAATTATGTAAAAATCCCTATGGTCGTAGAATTCTTAGTAGCCGACCTTTGATCATTATTTCCGCTTCAAAGTATCGTTTTCACCAGTTTTTACGAAAAAAACGATTATTCTGGTTCTGCATTTACTCTTCATAACAAGTGGATTTTGGTTTGGTTCATTAGTAATTTGGCCTAGTACTATTAATTTTGTACCATTCATTTGTCAAATTATATTTTTCTTCTGTCATATTGTTCGATTCGTCCTTCACAGTCGTAATACTAAACTAACTAAAGTAAAAGAAACAGGTGATATTTTATTAAGAGAAAAATATCCAATACAGATTTGAAAATCATAATAAAGGTTTTATTAAATCTCCATTACCTTCAAACCGACGAAAATTCGCTTCTGGAATATTTTATTTATGGCTATTTGAAGGACTTTAAATACTAATCTTTTAAAGGAAATAAATATAAAAAGTTCAATGAGTATCACTAAAAATGTAAAATATAATAAAAATTTGTATTGCAATTACTTTTTTCATTATTAATTTATAATTAATAAATTAGATCTTTATTATTATACTATAATTATATTATAGTTATTGATTATTTGATTGTATTACATAAGTTTGCACAGTTTGTTTCATTTATAATAATATTACTATTTTCATCCTATGGAAGTTCATTTTATTAAAAACTTGATATATATTATAAAATCAAAATAGCTTTTTTAGAGTTAATAATATAATTATGCTCTTACTTCAATGACAACCTTGTGAACTGCTTAATTATATATTTTATTTGTTGATTAGTTGTAAAACGTTTCTTAAAATGTCTCCTTCACCACTAGGAACTTCATAAAACATATCATATAAAGTTATATAAAAGTTCAATTTAACTTGAAATTTAAAATTTAATTTAACGTTAATTATATTATATCACGTTAAATTATGATTATGATTGTTATTAGATATTCTGGAAAGTTGGAACTTCAGACATTTAATTCAAAAAGTATGCAGTTGTAATAAAAATTTATTTATTTTGTGCATGTACCTACTAATGATGATTTCAACAGCTTGGTTTTAATATTATGATAAAATAATATTGTTTTCGTTAGGTATATATATCAGGATACTACTATATCATTTAATACCATTAAATATTGAAGTATCAAATATCTTATCCTCTATTTTAATTATAATATATAAATTATGTCGATAAAAACTTAATGATATAAATATACCATCATCCCAGTGGCGTTTATTAATTTCATAACATAATACATGAATCACAAGTAAATATAATAGTAAATCGTTACTCAACTAAACTTAATTCAAACAGAACATTGGAAATAATATGTTATAATGAAACGTTATACTTGAAACATAATCCTCAATTATTTATAATTATTTATAGATATATAAATGTTTAATGAGTGTTCATAGTGGAAATAATTAGTTTTGAATTGTAGCTCAATTATTTTGAAACTAGTTTATAAGAAAACTATACATTATAAATTTATTTTACTTATTAAATAAATCATTGGGTTTGAATATTTATACACATATGGACCATAATTATACAGTTATACTACAATGATCGATAAAAATATCATTGAGCTTATAATTGATAGAATACATCATAATACATTGCGAGTATTATGTGTATGATTTGTACATTTTTGTAAAATATAGTTTTCTATCCGGTAGGTAAAACTCTATGTCCTTTAATAGTGCGCAAGCGAAGATAAAAACGAATGCATTTAGACTCGGCAGCACTTTATAATACATAATGGTGCTTATACAGTTTTGACCGGCAATCAGATGTAATTACGTTTATGAAACGACTTATGTGTGCTGATTATCGTGAACAATAGCAAACTAAACAATATTGTTTTTCCCGTCAATCTTCAAGGATATATTTTGGTCTCAAGGATTGAAAATTGTATCGTTAGTTATTCAGAAAAATAATAAAATTAATTAAATATGTGAATACATGTGTATTTGTGTACACACGTGTGCTTATTTTTATACAGTAAGTGGTCGAAGAAATCCAAACGAAAAATCATTGCGAAAATTATTATATATTTTATGCGTTTATAAGTGACCTTAAAAGAATTGACCGAGTCGAAAATATTATCTTGTTTATACATGGACTTGCACTTATCATTCTCGATTTCGATTTGAACGGATCATACAATGTATTATAATAATAATAATAATAATAATAATAATAATAATAATAATAATAAT